ATGAGTAGAATTTCCCACAACGTCCTTTACGTTGTGGTTCTCATGGTGTCGTTTACTCTCGCACTCCCAACTCGAGATACATGCAACACGTTGCATGAATATGCATTTATATTCCTTTTTACTGTGCGCTTGGTTTCAATTATACAGTAGCGCCTTTGCGCATGGAGAGATGCATATATTCGCAGGACTTTAAATATATCTGATAAACGTATATTAAAGTAACTATAGAAACTTAGAATATTAAGAATGTTTCCGACAATAATAAATTCAATAAATTTATTAGTTTGAAAAACTCATACGATCCACAAAAGAACGAGTGCCTTATAAATTTTCAGCTTCCGTTCTCACCAACATTTTTAACCGAGCAGAAATACATCCTAAATTGTACTAATTGCATTCAAATGTGATCCGATAACGATTGAACGAAAACATAATTAAATAATTAACTCGGATTGACTGATATAAAAAATACGAAGGATGATGCGATTGTACTTGATTCCTGAAATCGCGCTATGCATAGGTTTAATATATGCATAGTAGATTTTATATAGAATCAAAATAAATAAAAAATTATTAGATATTAAGGTTTTTTCATCGGAAACTGATTTAATACGAATAAATGCCGTTGATAAATGATTGAAAGTCTATCGAAATTTAGAACAGAATTAATCTTCCTCTTATGATGATCTTTTTCTTATCTAATTTTTCTTACTGTTTCATGATTAATTTATTTACCTTTTATCTCTGTTATATATTAAATTTTCTTTTTGCCTTGATTGACTTTTCCTCGAAAGTACGTGTAAAATGCGTTCGCTTCTCTATGCGCGACCGACGCGGTTAGATTTTTATGACGTGCACGGAACGTTTTTAAAAGGCTTCATGACGTTGACCATCGTACAGGCTCACGATATCACAGATAAAAAAGGATATCGCATATACGGGGGCACGCTATTCCTGATGGTGCTGGTTCTAGAAAGCACGCGCGTTTTACGCACATACATATATATGCGCGCGAGCAGATGTGTGAGTTTGTTGACGGAGGCAGAGGGTTTGGGGTACTTTCACAAAATCACGGTGGGACGCCGACGCGGCGGGACGACTGGGACGGTCGTGGAGGGCAATAAATAACGTAAATTGAAAACCGCGGGAAATAAAGAGAGGAAATAAAAGCGCCACGGTTAAGTACACTTATACGTGCCCGGTATCGGCAATACACCCGCGCACACGCAGCACCGATGCGCATTTGTGTGCACCTCTCCCCTGGAGTATCCAAAGCTTTTGCTTTGTTTGTGTACCATGCATACTCAATCGTCTGACGGAACATCGCCCCACAATCCCTCACCTTCTATTCCTCCTCCATTCTCTCCCCTCCTCTCCCCCTTCCCTCCTCCTCCCTTTATCTCTTCTCTTTTCCCTTTTCGCCGAAGCTGCGCCATTGCTTTTCCTTCCTTCTAGCGTACATTTTGTTTATTAATGGAAATGCGTGGAGCACGGGCAATTTGAAAGGATATTTTCTCTCTCTCTCTCTCTCTCTCTCTCTCTCTCTCTCTCTCTCTCTCTCAAAACGCAAGAGAGCTCCCGCGGGTGCTCTGCAGAATTCATATCGTCTGCGCGATGCCCCAACCCGCCGCGGTTTGTCTACGCGTGAGTAATGCGCGTCATATAATGAATTTATCCATAAGCTTGAATTAATTAAAGACGGATTTAAAACACATGAGTTTCATAATAAATTTCCGCGTATTTTGTCAAAATACGCCACGTCGAAAGAAACAAGAATTACGAACTGGAAATAAAGAATTCCGCGTAGTAAACCGGAATAAATTTATTTATTTTATTTGCAATTATCGAATATATCATATTTGACACCTCAAACGCCTCAAACGATAGTTTCAGTCTCTTAAGCAAAAATAAGTAAAAATAAATGTTGCATAATTTTATTGCTGATTAAAATAGACATTTCGCGCGACCGGCGCACCGCTTTTTCCATGTCGGTGCTTACTACTTAACCACATTAAATGGTTTTAATGGATTACTCTCGGATTACAAAAGCGAAAAAAGAAACGTGGTCTTCCGGACGAGTCGGGGAGAGAACCCGGTTACCACGGAAGTGACGTAACAAAGAGAGAATAATTGAACGAGGCCACACGTCCGACACGAGGTTTTGCCTTCTCCTTGTCCGCCTTGCATCTTCTCTCCTGTGTCGCTCCTCACCATTCCCTTTCGATCCGTCGACCGACACCGAGGCTAATGGTTTAATCCTAACATGGATGTTAACCAGATTACCGGCTACAGGTCCGACATGTGCCGTGCATTCGCCGCGGTTTCTACGGAACAAATTATCCACGATTACATGGATAATAGCAGAAGGCGTTGAACGACGCGACGCGTGATGCAGCCACGTCAACCCGTACGATCGTCCTCTACAATTTTCTGCATCGCCAACCTGCTTTCTAAGCTGACGTAATAACGCGATATCACTGCTTTCCAAGCTCCACGGAATTTTGCATCTTTACTGCGACAGCTCACTTTTCAACGTTTCCAACCCTCACATAGTTATCGCGAGCTTATCACCCTTTCAATAGAGACTAGGAATTTCGACGTTGTATCCGAACCAATTTTATTACTTTTATTACTGAAATAATATTGCAAGTGTATTATTATTTCCACTTAAAGGCGCCCAGCTACATCTATCGTAATGTTTATCGTAAGCTCCTTACGATTCTTACGATAGCCAATTAGAAATGTCAATGTGTACTATAACGCTTCTGATTGGCTGTCGCAAGAATCGTAAGGAGCTTACGCGATAAACATTACAATAGATGTTTGCGTAAAGTCCTAGTACACTACCGTTCATAAATTCGGAAGTACTCACGATTTTCTTACAACTCCAAAAAAATTAAATTAAAAAGTGTTTTGAAATTTTTAGAAAAAAATGCAAATTTAGAATAATATTAAAAAAATATAAAGAATGAATATTATAATAAAATATTATAATAAATATATAAAAGCTTCTTTTCTGTTTTATTTTTTCAATAAACTTTAATTTTGAAGTTAAAAGTCATTTTATATATATAAAAATAAGTTTTTACACTAAAAATTCGATATTATTACGAAAAAATATACCAATTTAAAAGAAGAACTTTCTTAAAACTTAGAAAGCCTACTTTAAAATACTTTTTCATTATTTTTTGTTTGATGATGTTTCAACTTGTGTTACATAACAACGTTACAAAACAAAAATATCGAAAAAAAATATCAATTTTCAATTTTTTGTAATTTATAGGAATAAAATATATATCGTAGAAATTTTAAACGACAAATTTATAACTCTATCTCTTCTTTAAAATACATTTTTGAAAACTTCTCTACGATATTTTTCACCGAGATATTTAACTTTTCGTGATACGAGAAAATTGCAAGCGTTGCCAAATTTATGAACTGCAGTGTAAATCCGATTCATACTTAAAAGTGAACGTAGGTAATTGTAAAATAATATGCATTTCTTTTTAACTCTCATCTCGCGGTTCTTCGTCCTCTCTAATTTCCGCTTTTTTTTATTACAACCGCAAGAGAGGAAGAGAGAGAGAAAGAGAGAAGGAGAGAAATGAGTGAGAAAGGAGATCCTTCTGGTAATGCCATTGGCCAGGTCTTTTCGATATTATATTGCCCCTAAATTATGCCGTCATAAAAACGTGATGAAGCGACCATGACCGCGGGTGCCAGACAAATAATTCGAAAAATCAAGAGGAACAGAAATAATGATCAATGAACGGACTGGATAACAATTTGTTATTCATGGAATAGTTCATGCGTTTGAGGCTCGAAACCTTGATACTTCGGCTGTACATATTAGTCTTATTATACATAGATAGGAGATTTCACAATTCTGAACAGACATTGATTTTTATTCGAGATACATTTTTAGTGTAGCAATTAATTCTTAAGATGAGATGCCATGAAGCTGGTACTCTGAATTGTCTATCTGAGAGCTTAAATTTTTGCTGAAGAAGCAGTAGGATTCAAAAAGAAAATATAAAATTTATAATGTTATTATATAGAATAGAAGAAAATTGCTAAATGCATATAGCCGTCTAAATTGTAATTTTCATCAATATTTTATATCAATATTATCATCAATATTACTTAATCTTAATGTATAAGCAACGTTTAATAATAAAAAAATGAAATAAATAAAAAATGAATAGATATAATATAGACAAAAATTTAACAGATCTTTTTACTAAGTTTAAAGAATCAGATACAACTGACAGTTTTTAACGAAATGTAGACATATATCTGGTAATAATATAATTATACAATTTTATTCTGAATTTTTTAATTTTTATAAGTAATTTACTATCTTTAGCAAGAATATTGTATCTTACAATACAAGCAAATACTGCGGTTTTTAAAGACAGTCATTTTTACGTGAGGAACCTTTTGTGCATCTACGTAATAAGATATAAAAGGTGTGCTCTTAAGAGCCCCCTTAAATCGAGTGAATCTGTTAATGTCAAACGCTATTGTCGTCAATTAAATGAGTTGATCATAAAATAGAAGAAAAATACATTACATACATATATAAATGAAAATTAAAAAAGAAACTAAATCTTTTATATATACCTAATATTTTATTAACTATTATTTATTCATAAATTCGATACTTTTAAAGAAGGTACGATTTAGGCGAAAAGTTGTACCCTTTGCATTTTACAAAAAAAACTTGTATCAAATTAATTTGTTATAGGAATAAAAAGTTAAACATGTAATAGAGGCCTAAAACATCAAAATACAATTTTCAATGTTCGTTTGTGTGCAAATCAATACCAAATAGAAAACATAATAAAAAATATCTTAAGTATATTACATATTCTCGGCAACTTTTGCCCAAGTACAGTTGTGTGTATAATTGATACTATTTTATGTAACTATAAAACAGTAGACATTTTCATTCTTGAAATTAAAAGTTTGTATTAATTTCTTGCACTTTTCTGACGCAGATGATGAAGCATGGTTGGGACAACTACGTGCGGTACGCATGGGGGAAAAACGAATTAAGACCAATCTCGAAGAGAGGTCACAGTGCCAGTATTTTTGGGGCTTCGAATATGGGCGCAACTATCGTCGATGGACTTGACACTCTTTATATCATGGGCCTCCACGATGAATTTAAGCAAGGGCGCGACTGGATTGCCGAAAATCTGAACTTCGACATTGTGAGTACCACTTTCAATTATACGTCTTTATATATTTGCATATTTCTCAATAACGTGTTTCGGCGATATACTTACGCTGAAATAATCATCGAAAATCTTAGCAAATTATATTTTATATCTTTTAAAAATGACACAAAAATAGTTAATTTGTTTACATAATCTAAGTAAGTCTCATAAAGCAGCGTTTTTTTTTAAATAAAAATAAATAGTTAAACGAAAAAAAACAAAGAAGATTGATTGACATGTTCTTTAAAAGTCAAAAGAATGATATCTTGTTTTATTTTAATATATAGATGGATTAAATATTGAAATAAATGTATTTTTATAAGACCCATAATACGGTAAACTTAGCATATTAAAGAATTATAACATTTATTACATATTTTTAATAAATTATCTGTCAAATTCTTATTTTAATCGTTTCATGGAATTTAGCTGACGTTTATCACGCGCGAGAGAATTTAACTATGCTAAATATATATCTTTTTCTGTACTAAATTTATACTCTTCGAAATAGTTTCCCCTGTCATGAAATTAAATTAATTTAATGTCTTTTCTTAAAAGTAATACAAAATTCAAATAATAGACATGATATTATATCATTCTCATTATAATATTTTACATGATGTAAAAAATAATTCTAATATAAGAGTAAAATATAAATTTCGAGTTGTTTTAAATTTGCAAGCACAAATATTTCTTTTACATCTATACTTCTTTGAAGAATTTCTCCAGTTTTTCCTTTCATGACTGCAAAAGTACAGTGAGTCTATCTAAGTGAAGGTATCACGATGAAAGTTCGACATTCGCCGACACGCGTCGAAACCAATTTCGTCCTGAGTCAACTTACCTAACGCAGCCATGTCATCGTCTCCTTTTTCGCGAGCCTCAACGGAAGCGAACTTTTGATATAGGCCCGCGTCTGCATACACTATTCCTCCTCCGCACCATTTTTCCTTTACTTCTGCGTTATACAACATTCCGGAAATGTGTTTGCTCGAAGAAGGTTCCGTTCTGACGAGATGTCGGAGACACCCTTCGATTTTCTTTTAGCGCATGTCCTATTCAGATAAAATCTAATAAGAAAGTAAAATAACATTATCTTATAGATATTCTTAGATGGAAATTTAATTGTATAATTACTTCTCTTTCTACATCTTGAAATATATTTCAAAATTAAAATGAGTTTTTTGAAATATGAATACAAAGTATCCAGAATTATATAGTACAATGTTTTAATTGTAATTTAAAAGTAGGTAGTACAAAAAGGTAAGGTAAAAGATCATATTAGGGAAGACTTCACCGATTTCAATGATTTTCGCATGTTGTCAAAATTATTCAAAGTAACAATCAAGAAAAGTTTCATTTATTGCTTAATTATTTTCTCTAAATGTAAAAAGGTATTTAACTTTATTTGAATCTTTACATAGCATAAATAGCTCATTATGCACATATTTGCGTATTTAAAGAAATACGTGAGTGGAAGAGGAGTTCTAGTATAATAGAGGCGTAGTATTCTGTCATATACATATACTGTACTCCTACCCCGAAAAAATTTAATTCAAATCAAATTTGATGAAGCGGATCTTGTTTGGGAAATTGGAAATCTATGTGGAACCATACAATTACAAATCTCATTTCGCACTATAAGCAGAGGGCAGTGTGGAGTGGACCTCATAAATCCTCTCCCTTTGTACGATTCTACATGGATTTTCAACTTTAGACGAAGCGAGATCCACTCTACAAAACTTTATTTTAGTTAAGTTTTTTGATAGGAATGCAGAGGGAGAGGTTCTTCTTCGCCAACTATTTTTTTTAAACATGCAATTGTTCACATAATGAGATATTTGCAAAAAATTTAAAATAGAATTAAACACATCTTTATATTGTTAACTTTATTTGTTAATAACTTTTTAATAAACAAATGATGTAAAATCTTTTGATTATCAAAGAAATGACTTTGACAACATATGTCATGATTATCTATTCAAATCAATAAAGTCGTTCCTAATGCAATTAGGAAATTATTAATTTTATCGAAGATAATATTAAAGAGAGAGAGAATGAGAAAAAAACAGACAGAAAAGTAACATTTAACTTTGTTAAATTAACTTCTATAAAAATTTGACATAATTTTTTGAAAAATCGTAAATGTTCATTTTGTCACTGCCTGGATACGTCGTCGTGACCTTGAAAAAACGAGAATCTTATCTTTAGAGAACAGGACCACACTGAAATATCTCAAATCCCTGACTAGATCCAATATTTTCTCAATAAAATATCACAACGGACCATTTTGTAGAGCATAAATTGTCAGTTTAAAGTTTCTACATAAAATATTTTATTGCGACAGCAAATATTCTCTTTGTGCAACGAATGATAAAGCTTAAAGAATTATTTAACAATATCTTGCCCAAATATTTTTGTAACAATTTATAAATTCAATAACGAATATAAATAAAATTGATAATAGAAATCGGTTTTTCACTTTTTATTCTCTTTATACTACGTAATAAACGCGTACTAAATGTAGTCACATATTTATCAACAAAAAATTATTAAGAAATATTAAATATTTCAAATAAATGCCCTACCCTGTATATACGTACAAAATAAAATATATATTTCTTATACAATCAACTATATATATTAACAAATTATATTTCTAAATAATTATTTTTTAAATGAAATATAATACTTGTCAGTAAATATATTAATTTTATTAAACACAACATTTTGCCATCAGAATACAAGAAACGATAATTTCTGAAGATATGTTATCTTTAAGGCAAACATCACATTTAAACGCTTAATTAACTTACAATCGTTATGTAAATTGATGCCTGCGGTATTTCTCAGTCGGTGCGTACGAGAAGAATAAACTTAAACGTTTTCACGTGGCAGTTTCGTAAGTACCGAGCTAGGAAACTTAGCCCGGTTTATCCAAAGTTGGTAACAGCCTCCTACACCCTCCAACTCCTCAAACTCTTCTCTCGCAATGTTCCGTCGGATTTCTAAGTGGATAACTTGCTGTATTAGCTGCTTTTGGCTTGCGGTAACCGGCGTGTCAACCATGTTAGAAGTTATGCCTATTGTTTTGCAGCTGTTTCTGAAACTCTTTCGTCTCTCATATCGTTTGCAAGGAATGCAAAATTACTTATCAAGATACTTTAAGTACAATTCTACAGCTTTTATTATTTCATAATTTAGATACATTAATTTATTTATTATACACACATGCATATGTAGACAATTTATATTATAAATTTTTGCTCATTTATAGTTTTAAAATTTTTTAAATATTTTTTACTCTTTTATAAACCTTACAAGAAATATTACATATAATACAATAAAACTATTAAATTATATTTATAAATGTTAAATAGAGCCAGTTGGAAATACGCAATAAATAAAATAATTTCATTTAAATAATAATATTTTACTGTTATATTACTTATGCAGAATTATCCCAAAATTATTGTTACGATCCGCGTCTGAAATTGAAAAGAATAAGAACAACTTAAATATTCTATATTTCACGGCACGTTTAATAAGAACGGTAAAGAATGAAATTAAAAGGCGGCAACGATTCATTTCAGTTATTCGCGTTTGGTTAGCGAGATAAATTTCAATGGTCGATATGAGTGAGATGACCAAAAGAATACCGTGCAATATATATTACCCGGCAATGAGATTTATATAAGAATGAAAACAGTGCGGCGAATGCGAGGATTTTGCACGAGCTAGGTGGGAAGCGAGATCATGAACAGGTTATATGGACTTGTCCGCGATTCGGACGAGCGATAAATTCGGTAAGGAAGCCTGCATCCGAAGGGGCCTAACCGCTCCAAGTATAAAACGATGACTCGCATCGCGTATAATGCGTTGAGGATGCAGGTACAGAGAGGAGAATACAAGGTACTGGCCGTAACATCCGGAGAGTATCTGACACCGCCATTTCACGTTAATATATTCGCACAACCATACAAGATTAAAAAAGAGAACAATAAAATATACGTATTTTATATACGACGAAGTGATGTTTATATTGTTATTAGTTTAAAATGCTATATTTGCTGTCACAAGTTTTATACTAAAAGTAATATTGCATAATAAAGGATAAAAGTAAAAAATTTCCATATGTAACCTTTATGCACAATTATTGAAATTTTATATTAATTTATTTAGCAGGACATATGCGAATGATGTTATAGATGCAATGCATTAAATTTTTAGCATAGTATTGACGTTAAATAAATTAGAACAGATTTATATAACTTGCATTTGCATTTACGTTAACATATATAAACGCGCATATATTTATTTTCAGTATAAGCACGACGATACGAAAATATTTTAGCTGCAGGTCTGTTTACTTATATATACACAAAACTATAAACTGCATATTTTTTAATTTTGTCAAGTTGAAATCAGAGCAGTTGTCTAAAAAAACGTTATACGATTTTATTTTGCTGTTTCCACAAAGAACGAAAAAGTATTTAACTAAAAGTATTTAACTAAAAGTCGCTTGTTAGCAGCAGTCGTGTATAAAATTTTTCTCTTAAAACTCAGAAAGAATCGAATGTAATAATGAACGTATATTAAAACGTATGTTTATAAATCGCGTTGATAGCACTAAACCGCGAGGACTTTTTCATTTATTTTAGAAGCCTTGGCTAGTTCTAAGCTGACTTGTTGTAATAGTATAGCAAGCTTAAAGAATAAAAAATGTAAAAGAGAGTATTAAAATTATAAAAAAGCGCTACAGTTTATATACTTATTTCTGTTACATAATATTAATAAATATTTATCGTTCAAGTCGACGATTATTATTCAAGTTAGATCTGTCACAGTCTCTACAAAAAAAGTGTAGAATGTGTAAAATGTGCACAATAGTGCAAAATTGTCGCAACGTTTACTGACATGTATATTGCTAGCACCACATTTACTTCTTGCGGTAAAAATTCCAAAAGGACGTTTCTCCTACTCCGTAACGGCGA